TGCACTAAAAGACGGTAAATATATATACATTATGGATACGAATCAGTGCAACAGGATGCTAAAATACAACATTACCATTTACTGATATTGTTTTTATTTTAACATGAATAATCAGAATCAGGAATTGATGATAGTGACTATAGTAAACTTATCCATCTAATTATTCTCTAAGTGCATGGCTTTGGATATTAGTAGTTGATGTTTCTATGTTCATATTCCACTCAACTTCTCATTTTTATTCATTGAATTACATCCAACATACAAGAGCATTTTCGTATCCTTGATTGGGCAAGCCATAACTTGCTGATGCTCTCTGTAAAAGACATGTGATATAGTTCATTTTCTTCCTACTGGGTGCAAGACATAAGGATGGCTAAGAGAGGAGATTTCAGGAACAAAACATAGAACAAGAAGTGGTTCCTGACACTGATTTTGATGGGTAGTTATTTGAAGACAAGAACATTTTGTCATTTTCTAAGTGACGTAGATACTTACCATGGAAAAGAATATGGGCTAAAAAGACAGGCTCTACATAGTAGATAAGGGGAATGTTCTGAAAGATTACTGGTCTATTCTAGAGCCAGTTCTTATTGTCATGTACAGAAGAAAACAATGAAATGAGACTGTTTCATATACTTAGATTTCTATACTTTTGTGACAAAATGAACCTGATAGGACAGATGAGAATTAAGATTGGTTAGGAAAAGAGGAGTGTATGTGCTAAGCTGAGTTTTGCATGTGCTAACTATTATTCTACAATTGAACATTAGTGCTCAAAATTTAAATCCATGGAGGACAACTAAATTTATACAGAGATACTAAACTTGCTAGAATAATAATAATAATAATATGCACTAAGCATTGTTGCTATCAAGGAGAAATATTTTCAGCAAAGATTGCCGTGAAACTGGACATTGATAAGAATAAAAACTACTCTTTTTCCCCTTTATTTCAACATTACCACCTACTATTCTGAATGATTTCAAATGCAACAACAGGCTGGAACCTTTGAAACAAAGAATTCCCATATATACAGAGTGTTCTGCAGTGAATTGGCCAAACTTCAGGAGCGCATTCTACTGGTCATTTGGAGCAAGAAGTGCCCAATAAACTGTAGGTTCATTTGACATGGTTATTGAGTTACGTGCTAATGAAATGAACTGGAACTGCTGTAACTTGACCAAGTTCCTGCTTGTACACTGCCTAGACTAGTGTGGCTATGTTGTTTTGCAGTATGGTTGTAGTCAAAATGCCTGACACATTTATAAATGAAGAATATGCAAACCTGCATTTTGTGTGTGGTGTCTGTAATGGAAATGGTAAGGCTCTGTGGTATAATACTGGCAATGTATCCACTTTGCAAAATTTCACATCACAAAACATTTGAGAACATACGATGGGGTACCCAAAAGAAACCGAACTAATTTTTTTGTGGGCAGAGCTTTTGTAGTACCGCATTTTGCCGCTATGAGCGCATAGAGCTAACATTCCTGAGTCGATAAGCCGACTACCGTTGCTTCAGAAGGTAAGGACTAGTTTCGGCAGAGTTTATAGTGACAACTGTTTTGTGTGATCGTTGTTTTTGCAATGGCTGATTTTCGTGAACAGCGTGCGGCGGTGAAATTCTGTTTTTGCTCGGGAAAAGTGGAACAGAAACTCTTGAAATGTTAAAAACGGCGTACAAGGACGATGCTATGGGGAAAACTCAAGTGTTTGAGTGGTTTTCCCGTTTCAAAAATGGTGAAATGTCAATTGATGACAAACCTCGTTCTGGTCGTTCTTCCACAGCCCGAACACATGAAAATGTTAAAAAAATTCGTGAAATCATCAAGGAAGATCGGCGACAGACCATTGAAGAAATTGTGGAGCTGTCGGGAGTGACTTGGAGCTCAGCGGCCAGATTTGTGGCAGTCAGGTGACTGGTTTTTCCATCATGACAATGCCCCTGCTCACACAGCCCTGTCTGTACGACAGTTCTTGACCAAAAATGGTATGACACCTGTTCCTCACCCTCCATACTCACCCAACCTTGCCCCGTGCGACTTTTTTTTGTTTCCTCGAATGAAAAGAGACATGAAAGGAAAAAACGACGGAGGCGCTGTCAAGCATCTCAAAAGATGAATTTAGACAATGTTTTGAAAAATGGAATAAAAGACTAGACAAGTGTATTAGTGTAAGTGGAGAGTACTTTGAAGGGGATTGAAGGTTTGTGCTTAAAATTTGAATAAATAAGTTTTAAGTTCGGTTTCTTTTGGGTACCCTGTCATACACAGAACTTTGAGGGTGACTGGTTCCTTCCCACAAGCAATTCCAGAACATGAACAAAAACGGTGTGGAGGAGGTATGTCGAGTGCCAGGAAGTGTCTTCTGATTAGTATCCACTGTAGATGATCAGTGGTGGGTTGGGTATGTGTGTTAATGAAGACACAGGTCAGACCGAAGTACATTTCTTGCACCCTCATGGACCTTCATCTTTCTTTACATTTCCTTCCAAGCCAGATGTTTTCAGAGTGAACAGGGCTCAAAACATTACAGAGGTTGATTTTCATGCATCTCCTGGCTGGACTTACTTTCTTCCTCCATGAGTTGTGCAAATAGTTACAGCCTTTGTGAATAGGACATTTCACATTGAGTTCTTGAGATCTGTGAGATGTGTTCTAATATTTCTTGTTATTGCCATATTACTAGGACAGTTCATTGTTTTGGTAGTTATTCAAGACTTAATATATGTGGTGTGCATATGAAATGTATACCATCTTACTGCAGTATTACTCAGGAACTAAGAGGCCCAAGAATGAGGCTATGTGATCAAGTTTTGTGATTTGCATTTTACAGATGTCCCATGAGGACACAGTGAGTGGTCTGGAAGATATATCTGTATTCCCTTTCAGTCCATATATTATTAAGTAAATCAAGCATAACCAGCTGCTGCAACTGTTATCTCTTCAGCAAGTTCTGGCAAAGTGGTAACCAGTGGTGCCATATACATAGCATCCTTGATGTATGCCCAAAAGATAAAAATCAAGGGAAATAATGTCAGGTGAATGAGATGACCAAGTGATAGGCACAAACACTCCTGTGAATCCATGTCTCTGAAAACTTATGATTTAAGAAGCCAGTCATTTCCTTATAGAAATGAGGAGGGTGTCTTGTCTTGGAGTGGCATATTATCAAAACCCTCTTCTACCAAAATAGAGGCATGAGGAATTCCTAGGTACTGTATACCAGTCACATTATGTTTGGCAAAGAATAAAGGCCCAAATACATTTTGTATAGACAAAGAGCAAAACATATTCAACTTGGGTCTATCTGTTATGTGTTCACTTCCTTCATGAGGATTGTTGCTGCTTCACATTTTCAGGGTATGTTGATCAACATTTCAAAATAAGTTTAATGTGGCTTCATCACTGAAGACAGTTTTGGCTGTATAAAGTTCATTATCCTGAAGTCCTGAAAGAAAGTTACAATAAAATGTGTAGTGAACTTCATCTTGGGCAGTTACATGATGCAGCAGTTGGTACCCATAACTTTTAAATTTGAAATGTTTCTGCAGAATTATGTGCACTGTTGTATCTGGCATTTTTGTTGGGCAGCATGCTTGCTTGATTTGTGTGGACATACAATTGAAAGCTGCTTGAACTTCATCTACTTGAGCTTTAGTTACTGGTCATCTCCTGGAGCTTTTTCCTTTACAAATGCAGCCAGTCTCATTAAGCAATTTGTCACTTATAAATGAACATTCTTTTTGATGGTTTCCTTCCAAATACTGTAAAAAATTTCCTTTGCACTGTCACCACAGACCTAAACTCGGGGAAAGTACAGTTCAAATATAAATTTTTCTTCTTGAGAGAGATTCCATTTTGACAACTGAATGTAGCACTTTGGGAGGAAAGATTTAGAAGCTCAAGTGGCATGAATTGTAAACTTGATTATATAACCTACTGGGTTTGTAGTTTCCATTCCTGTGACTTTCAACAATGAACTCTGAATATTGTCAGTAAAATGGTATACATCTCTTATATACACTATATTATTTAGTTATGAGTACTGATGTATACTGGGATTGTTGCCCTTGCAATTAATTATTCAGTTATGCCTTGCATGATTGACTGGAGTGTGAGAAGGAAGTGGGGCTAGAAAAGTTGAGTTGTTTCTTTATATCTTTTGAGTAATTGTAAGTCAGAGGTTAATTATGGTGACCTTGAAGCTGTTAACTGCCAAGGCTTGTTAGAGAATGTGTTTCATTGGCTCTTATATGAGTCCAAAATGAGCACTAGCTGAAGTAGGGTCTGAATTTATAGCAGTTTTTACAAGCTGTGTCATGCGAACAAGTTTAATTTGTTTCACATTTGTAATTTATACTGCTCTAGGGTCTACAAGCTCGCCACATTTCATTTAAATTTGAATGGGTTTTGTAAAAAATTTCACTTATGTATATATATTGGAAACAATTATTACATTATAGTTGTGTTAGTGGCAGTAGTAGTAGTAATAATAGTGGTAGTAGTAGTAGTAGTAGTAGTAGTAGTAGTAGTAGTAGTAGTAGTAGTAGTAGAAGAGTAGTAGTAGTAGTAGTAGTAGTAGAAGAGCAGCAGTAGTAGTAGTTGCTGGTAGTAGTGAGAGCAGTAATAGTGTCAAGAGTTTCTCTGCTCTTGAGAATGAGTGTATACCATACCTTGTGTAAGCAACCTTATGGAAGAAAAGGCTTGTGTTTGAATTTCCCCCTGGTTTGTGAATACTGAAGTGTGTTGGAAATAGAATCCAGTAACTTTCTAATAATGATGCACTGTCTGCATCACTAATAAAGATGTTGCATTCTTGTTCACATAGTAGATGGAGTATAAACATGATTATGCTAAAGATTGCAGTGTTAGCATTAATGTCAACAGTGACAGTGGCAATATAATTGAACTTATTTGATGTGCATTGTGTTCCAGTACTCGTGTACCCATATTAGATGTATTTAATCTGTTTTGACAAATGTTATATAATTATTTCAGAAGGGAATGAAGATGAACTAGCAGAGTTTCCTGTGTATTGCTCAGCGGAATGTGCGCGTGTTGGGTCACAAATATATGTTATTACTGTAGAGACAGAGACATTATTTTTGAAGTTCAAAGATGAACAAGGTTAGTATTGGCCTGTATACCCCCTAATGTGTTTGTTAAAATATTTTCGCTTTTGAATATTGTAGAATTCCTGAAATAAAGGGCTAAGTGATTCTCCATTGAATTTGTACATTGACTCATTGTTGGGAGTTCCAGTTTGAGTCCTGTTCAGAAACCAGTTATCCTGAGGTTACTCACAGCTTTTCCTCAGTCCTTCCATTCAAATTATTCATTTCCTTAAATTAGGCCATGTCTGCTTCTTCAGGCATTAACAATATACCTACTGTACCTCATTTATTGTTATGTAGCCTCACAAGCTGTTGTAGTATTGTGAAGCAACTAAATAATCAAGAAATTAAAGGTTAAAGTTAGTTATATCCTACATATAGTGCCACATCTTCACAGATGAGTTCTCATGCATGAAATTTATTTATATTGTAAACATAATACTTCAGTGTGTTCCGTTATATAAATCATATGGTGCATTATTTGTATAAAATAGTTTAAATTGTTGTTATAAATATTGTGTTAGAATGTTTGCTTCATCAGTAATCATATTCCTATACCTCAGCTGTAAGTAATACAGAGTGGTGCAGCGATCACTAGCCATAATCGTAGAAACATGTATCAGTACATGAGTGTCAGACAGGTAGATAGTGACTCTGGTTGGAAGCAGCTGTTAAAACCCATTTCTGCACGTATCAGTACGCTCCAGTGGGTAGTGACATTTGAGCCATTCTGTATGGCACTATAGAACAGCTTCACAGTCATAAGGACAAGTGTAGTGGTAGTAAGGCATTATGATGTCTTAAGCCTCAGCTTATCAAGGTCTCATGAGCTAGTCTCTTCTTGAAGTGGATAGTCGGCTGAAGTTCTTCTAAATTACAAGCACTGGCACCAGGAAGCAGATTGGGGTGTACATGGGCCACTACACTATAGTTCCATCTCCAACCTGATTATTTTCTTTGAATATGAATGTGGTCTTCTGGGAAGTTATGTCATCTAGTCTGGTAGATAGGCTCCAGTGTTTCATGGGTGTCTTCTGCTTCCATGTTCAGGGTTCACTTATACCCTGAAGGTGGAGGGAATAGATTCCTCCGCATTATTGGTACCTCTCAGCAAGACTGCATGGCATCAAATCCCAGCACACCATATATTCATTATATTCATCACTGAAAGGACTTGCTTAAAATCTGTCTGTTCAGAAATTGCTTTGTGGTAGTATGGTCTATGGTCTATGTTGTGACAAGAGCCATGATTTGTTGTCACAATGCTGTTGTTACAGATACAGGTACTTAGTTTGTTATTCATTATCATTCTTTGTAACATTGCATATATTATATTTGTATTCCTGCTTTTTGTGTCCCAGATTCAAGAAACTTTCACACAGCTGTAGCCAAAGTAAAGTCGGGTAAAGGCACATCAGCGTTCGCAGAACGTACTGATGACTCGTCAGCTATGCAGTACTTCCAGGTATTGTATATAATAATTATGTCAGTCAATAATATTAATTTCATATGTGTTTTGATAAATGTGCACACTAAACACAAGTTCTCTGATTCATTTCTCTCAGTTCTGTGCTCATATACAAAGTGTAAAAAATTTGTCTTCTTTGTAGTTAACCCTTTTGCGCGGTGATTTAAATTCTGCGGCCGTCTCTCCGGCGGTAATATATTCAGCCGGCCATTTAAATTTTGCTCGAAAATGATTTATTCATCATTGTTCTTAAATTATATGAGATAGGAACATGAAACTTTCACTAAAATGATCTTAAATGGTGGTTTTATAACCTTACCTTATAATATGGGCGCCCTGTATCTCGGCCATGGAAGCAGGTTGTTTAGTATTTGAGCAGTGAATGGTACGCCTTGAAGGATGAAACTTTCACTAAAATGATCTTAAAAGATGGTTTTATAACCTTGCCTTATAATATGAGCACCCGGTATCTCGGCAATGCAAGCAGGTGACGCCTTGAAGCATTAGTCTAAACACAGCGCTGGCTCACATTCACCAAACAAATACTGCGTATCTTTTCTTTTGCTCTTTTTTTTAACCACACAGCTTCTGTGCGGCCTAGCCCTCTTCCCCGTGAGGGGTCTAGTTCAAGGAAATGTCCTTCCGTGAGCAGTAAAGCTAGTCAGGTCAGCTGCAGTAAATTCAACGTTACGAGTTATCATAACAAGGGGTTGTTGCTATGCCTTTGATATTCCATCCATTTTGGCGGCTGTAGATGTCGTAGGGGTGACCACAGAATTCATGAAGTTATTCTAAGTACTGGCTGGTATGTAGTGCACGAAAGCAGAGCCTAGCTGGCTCAAAAAAATATTTATGGTCATCCCTCGAAACGACCACCAAGGTCAGTACGATAAAATGGCGTCAGCTGGAGCGATAATACATGAAGGAATGAGTTCTTTTCCCTCCCCCACACACATCCGTATCGTCTCAGGGGGTGACCACAGTGTTCTGCCTTAATTCGTGACGTTTTTCTAAGAACTGGGTGCTATATACTGTGCGAAATCAATGGATCATGCGAGAATAAATTACTGGACACCCCTCTTCTAAGAATTCCAATTGAGTGTGTTAGTGTGGCCAGCTCAGGGCAATATGACACAGTAAATATCACGTCTCTGTTGTTTATAATTTCATAGCAAAGCGAACATGCCTTTCATGACACTAGAACCAAGAAAACACTTGCAAGAGCCACAGGAACTTTGCTGCAAGACAGGCATATGTAACGATGACTTAGCGCTCTTAAACTCGTTTCTCATTATAAACCGTTCTTGTGACAACAGGCCAGCGAAGAATCTAACAATCTACAGCAAAACCATCAATTATTATGGGCGTTATAACATAGGTGTGCAGCTGGACGAAACATACACGTCGAACCCCCCCAGACGATTTAAATCCCTGACGAAACATACACGTCAAACCACGCCAACGGGTTAAGTCTCCAAATGATGTCATTTTGTTTTTATTTCCAGTTCTATGGCTACCTTTCTCAGCAGCAGAATATGATGCAAGATTATATTCGGACCAGCACATACCAAAGGGCTATCCTTTCTAACTTGCCAGACTTCAAGGATAAGGTTGTCTTAGATGTGGGTGCTGGATCAGGAATCTTGTCATTCTTTGCCATTCAAGCAGGTGCGAGAAAGGTATATGCTGTTGAAGCAAGTACAATGGCTCAACATGCAGAGGTGAGCTTGCATTTAGTTTATGTTCAAATTTAATTGCATTTTGACATGGCATATATCATTTATGTGAGCCTTTATGCCCTTTCTTCAAATAGAAAAGTTTACTCATTCAGAAATTGAATATGCTATATATACTATATATTTTACTCTTGGAAATTGGATTTTCTTATATGGAAGATTTTATGGCCTCTGGCTATTTTATTATGCCCAACCATTGGTGCAAGGCCTAATGTGTGTGGCATTTTGAAATGCTTGCCTTAACTCACACAGGTTGTTTATGTTGTTTTTTTATATATATCCTGCCTTATGTTGCTTCTGGTGTCAGTAGATAGGGACTAGCTCTATCATTTGGGCATAGCAGAGTAGGGTCTTTATCTGAGGACAGAGGCACAGTTCAGTCTCTAAAAGGTTGTTTTAAATAAAAAGCAGGACAATGGATAATGTTCAGAATGTCAGCAAATTGTATTAATGTGCCATCACCACAAACTTTTAAATCTTAATCAAATTTTACTACTTTAACCTATTGTCATTGCCAGTTTCATTTAAACTCCCATTCTTAGTTTTTGGTGCAAAAATATTTTCTTTCCCTAGTTTGCATTAAAATCTTCTAACAAATATTTAATGTGACACTTGGGGAATTGACTCAGTACACACTGATTCCTCTTGAAAGTTGCCCATTCTCTGATGATTTTGTCCTCAGTTTGGTCATGCACATTCAGAACAGTCACACTGACCTCACAGTCCTATATAGTAAGGGCGTTCCGTATATAATGCCTTCTCTATTTTTTTAAAGAAAACTACAACAGATACAGAAATCATGATAACACAGTTAAATAGCGCAAGATTTCAGCTACTTACAGCTATTTTTCCAAATAATCACCACCTTTCGTTATGCACTTTTGCCATCGATGAACAAGAGCCTGTATGCCGCGCCCATAAAAGTCTGCGCCAGCAGAGTCTAGCCACTTTCTTACAGCTGCAATGACAGCATCGTTGTCTGGAAAATGTTGCCCACGTAGTCCGTCTTTCATAGGCCCAAAGAGATAGAAGTCTGAAGGTGTTAAATCGGGGCTATAAGGTGGATGTGGTAGGACAGTCCAGCCAAACTTTGCAATGTGCGTGGTGGTCGCCAAACTGGTATGGGGTCTAGCGTTATCGTGTTGCAAGCAAAAGGTTGTCTGCTTTTCTGGCCTGACTCGGGAAATACGGGCTTTCAGCTTAGTCAGCACCGTCTTGTAGGGTTCACAATTGACAGTTCCTGGTCGTTATCTGCTGGTCTGTTCGGATGAGGCGCTGTTCATTGTGAGGAGTGGCCGCTGAGCAGGGACACCCATGGCGTGTATTGTCGTGCACTTCACTTTTACCACTGTTGAAACGCACTACCCACCGAATCACTGTGCTGACATCCACTGTATGTTGTCTCCGTACACCTTTAGCAGCAAGTGTCGATGGATGTCAGTGGGTACAATTTGTTCGGCAGTGAGAAACTCAATAACACATTTCTCTTTCATATGCACTTCTATGTCAGACGCCATTTTAGTAGACTGCTCTGCTGTCGCTATCTGTCGCACGACAACCAAATTAACAGACCATTAGCGGGAAGGTTCAACCTTTACTACAACACCACCAACATCCAGCTCAGACGTTACATATTAACACAAAAAAATTGGAGGCATTATATACGGGATGCACCACGTACAATATATTATCACTAATAAACTCTACCATATTAATGGCTAACACAATTTCCATATGTTCAGAAAAGTCTGTTCCTAAACAATAATTGCATTCCCATCCATAGAGAAATGTGTAATCATCAGCTGGTTATGTATCACGTTTGTCCCATTTGACCTATCTTTCCAGCACTTAAACTGAAAATAAACCTTATTGATATTGTGTAGTACGTATGTTTCTTGTACAGTATGTAATGTATAAAATAATGATTGTGTATTTGTGTATTTCCAGACTTTGGTCTGTGCTAATAATTTAAAAGGAAAGATAATAGTAATTCCAGGAAAAATAGAAGAAATAATATTACCAGAGTTGGTAGATGTCATAATCTCGGAACCAATGGGCTATATGTTGTACAATGAACGGATGCTTGAAACCTACCTCCATGCCAAGAAGTGGCTTTTACCAAATGGTATGAATCTTTATACAGCAGTTCATCTGATTAAAATACAAAGCTGAATTTGTAGTGCATGCTTCCTTATTACAGTTAAACACAGTGTGATTCCTTAGAGTGCTGATGTTTTCTGTGTACACTGTTGCATAAGCCCTGGAAGATAGACACTCTCAGTTTCTGACAGATCTGACAGTGTAGAATGACTTATTATGTTCAAAGAGTATGTATTAGAATATGGTCTTTGAAAGTTATATTTGAATCATGACAGTGGAAGTGAAGAGGAACTTTGTAGGTTTTCTTTTCTAGTGTCATTAGCATAGATTAAGATTGACATGTAGGATAAACATGCGAAAAATTCCGAGTCAAGATTGTGGTGAAGAGCAGCTGAAAAGAACGAGGTGCAGGTAGGAGGGTAAAGTTAAAAGTGAAGCTATCCCAGTAAAAGGCTGTGGAGGCCCATAGAGTTGTGAGATGTCGAGGCGCCCACATTTTCTAGACATTTGGCTCACAGATGGCGGTGAGGTTGTTGGCCTTATGTGTCGGCCATCCTTTACCACAAGAAGATTCCTGGTACTCATTTTCATAAGTGTCTTGCCTCAACCCCAGGGCCATAGTACGGATGGAAGGATTAGGTAAACTGAAAAATCCAGTTACCTCATCGTGTATCAAACCTGCAATCTTCTGGCTTTTAGCTTAGTGCCTCAACTAAATACACTACTGCATGCCCTTAGGTAGGAAGGTAATCAAGATATAGAAGTTTATTTAGTTAGGATCAAGTAACAGGCTTTCCATTGTTGCTTTAATGCAATTTCTGGTTTCATAATAGAAGTATAGGAAGTTTTAAGGAGTCTTTCGCTTTTCCCCTTGGACAGGTTCCAGTGAAATTCTGGTATAATATTACTGGATGTTTATTGAACTGAAAGTGTCAAAATGAACCTCAGTCTTATACCTAATCAGGAATACAAAAAAAAAAAGTGACCAGGGTGAAAAAATTGAATTTCTTATTGTTTCTCTATTCTCCAGGTCGAATGTTCCCAACACGTGGTGATCTCCATATAGCTCCATTTACAGATGATAGTCTATATATGGAACAGTTCAGTAAGGCAAACTTCTGGTAAGTTTCATTAGGTTTGTTCACATTTAACACATTGAGCTCTGGATATATGAAGATCATAACAGCAAGTGTACTTGAAATGTCAGATTAGTTCCAAGGATGAATGTGTGAATATACTTCATTTTTATTTTTATACATTGTAAGATGAAGCACTGGGTTACATCTGTCTGTGTAGTGATGGGCTGCAGGATGGATGGCTGGGGTCCAATTCCTGGCAGGGGCAAGATTTTTCTTTTTTCCATAGCATCCAGACTCACTCTGGGGCCTGCCCAACCTCTTATCCAATGAATAAGTCATGGATGGAGATAGTCAGTTGAGAGTTCCCTCTCTTTCCCTGAGGGGTAAAGTGGCAGGACTCTCAACTGACTATCTCCATCTAGTGCTGAGGTCAGGAAGGTGGAGCTATGCCACCTATCCCCTATACATCTTTATGGCATGGTGCTTAATTAATTAAGCACAGGGGCACCTTTACCTCCCTCACATTGGTGAGCTGTTGATGTAATTGAATCAGGCAGATAATATATTATTTTGCTTTAGAAGAATATAAATTCTGTGTTTGGAACTTTATGTTAGTTCATCTTTACTGACTCAGTGATAGAACAGATGGATTTGCACCTAAAAAGGCAAATGTTGTACTCTCATGTACTCAGAAGAAACTACACAAAACATTGAGCCTCAGAATCCTCCCACCTAATTGGCCTGCAGAGATTTTGACTGCAAGCAGAATTGACAAGTCCATAGCCCAACAAACTACAAATAACATTCACCCAGATTACAGTAAATGCTTGAAATATTTCTTGTTGTCAGGAAAATATTTATGCCTAGTGAATATTTTTTTGTTACTGGGGGAGGTTTGAACCAATGACAGCTCACTGAAAGGGAATTGGTGCTGTGCTTGAACATTTTCCTTGAAAATTCCTCGGACACCAAGCACAAAGGAATGGAGCTTGAAGTTTAAAGTTTGTTATAAATTAAAAAGAACGTCATTTTGTGAATATGAACTTTATGTGGAGGTGTCAGGAATGCTTGCATAACTACAGAGCATATGCAGTAACTTAGGTGAGCTTTATTTGTAATATGTTAGACTCTAGGGTGTTATGATTTTGCCAGGAGTACAGATCTCTGTTGCTGAGCAGACAGGACAGGAGGACCATCAGACTCTTCTGCCTTAGTGACTCATTGGTTAGTAGAAAGCTATAGGATGGTTACACTGCACTGTACCTAGAAACAAATGTTGTGATTATTTTGCAGCCTAATTTTTTAAGTTTTTGAATTCATTCTGTTGTTTTTTTAGTAAATAAATCAAGTAATAATTTAATAGTTGGTGTTGCATGCATCTCTTTAAAACGAGAGGTATGAAAGCATTTACTTGATCATCAAACCTGTGTGTGTTTGTGTGCGCGCACACTTGTGGGCGTGGGCGTGGGCGTGAGTGTGGGTGGGAAGGCAGGCACACACGTCCATCAGCGCATCTCTATGTCTAGGCTCTGCAATTTGAGTACACTTGATCTTCACATTTTATGTCCCTTGAGTTAAGTTTGTTCCAGTTGGTATGGTTCTAGCCCAGTATCTCAGAGGTAAATTTTTCAACATAAGTTTTTACTTAACGTTAAGATATTGTCTCCCAGAAAAAACTGAGAGTACAGACTTAACTGTAACATGTATGATTATTCTAGGGATAAGGATGTGGGTCTCCATTGAATGTCCTCTTTGTTGCAGGTACCAACAGTGCTTTCATGGTGTTGATCTCAGCAGTCTACGACAAGCAGCCATGAAAGAATATTTTCGCCAACCAATTGTTGATACTTTTGACATGAGAGTGTGTATGTCCAAGTCAGTGCGGCACATAGTTGATTTTCAAGAAGCAGAAGAGTCCGATCTGCATCGAATTGGTGAGTAGGACTTCTGCAACATTTTTCTTTTTCAAATAGTGCCATAAATATGTTATAGGAAGGGTGCTTAGCCTACAGACAGCCCTACACAGGAATTTTTGTACAGATGCTTTTTTTTGTAGAAAAGATATCTGATCCGGTTAATTTTGTTTTGAGATATGGGTCACCTCTACATGTACTTCCACTTGCTTCCCAATGACTGCTGCACCCAGACTTACCAGTATTTTAGTAAAGTGTGGTAGAACTACTGGGGCACGCGGTAGCGTAGTTGGTTGAGGCACTATGCTACATGCTGGAAGGTTGTGGGTTCAAGTCCCGATTAGGTCATTGGATTTTTTTCAATTTACCTAACCCTTCTGGACACACTGTGTCCCTGGGGTTGACTCAGCCTCTAACAGGAATATTCTTTGAATATTCTTAGGGGTAAAGGGCAGCCGCTGTTTAGGGCTGACAACCTTGCCACCATCTATGAGCTGATTGTCTAGAAAATGTGGAAACCTCAACATTTCACAGCCTGTTACAGGGATACCTTTACCCTTTTTTACTTATGGTAGAACTATTCAGTTGAGAAATGTTGTCTTGTGTACCTTCCAGAACAGTATAAAGACATATAAAGCAGTTAATTTGTTCATTGGTTGGGATGGTTGTGACATGGTTTCTTTGTGGGAAGGGTACTTATTGCAGGTATCTGAAAACATAGTGCTAAGAGAAATATTCAGGCCAAGAAAGATGAACTAGTTGAGGAATGGAGAAAAGAGAAGTACTTTCATTTTTCATTATTTCTCTCTTCTGTCTTCACAGATTTATTGGGTTGACACTTCTAATGTGAAATATGAATAGAACATGTCTGAAAACCTGCAGTGTAGTTCATTATGTCTCATTTAAAGAAACTATCTCTGTTGAGAGAGGATCTTATGGTTAGATAAGATGAAAATGAAAGCAGTTTACTGACACACTTTCAGAAGGTATCATATTAGAATTTAGGAAAACTTTGAAGATCAGGACACTAGCACATGTTATAGTTATACGTGCAGCCATGGGAACTACAGATTACCAGTCTACATGAAGCACTTAGAGGGTGAATAGATCCCAGTACATTCTTGGCAGTGTTAATCTTTAACACTATGCACTTTAAATTGTTTTTGCTCTTGACCTAAATTAAAACACAGCTTTTAATTTCTAGGGTCATTTTTAAGTTAGAAAAATAAATTAAAATTGAAATTAATAAGGATGAATATATGTGCCTGTATGTGATATCCCAGAATTAGCAGTCCTCATATGCACAATTAGTAACATTCCTTTACGGTCACTGTGTCTATTTTTATAAATTTTGTTCTCTTTACTTTGAAGTATGAGGAATCAGTAAGCCACAAGGACTAGTAAGCCTACATTCTTTGAAGTACAAGGAGTAAATATGCATACCTTTAGTGTAATGAATGCAGAGTGTACTATAGATCTTTGAAGCATGTCCTGGTAATACTTCCTTTCCAATGTGCTGATCTCTACTTATCTCAAAAACTGTAATACTTCTGAAAAGCATGTATTGGGAATAAAGTATTTTCATTCTTCGCTGCTATGTTTGTCCAAAACATTTTTTTTCCTGATGACATTTAGTGTGTTATGCTTTGGAAATGCACAGGAAGATAAGTTGATCTTCATGAAAGCACCAGTTATTGTTATCCGTTTTTTCTCTAAAACTGGAATATGAAGACAGATTATGATGAAAGCCTCAATACTGAATTTCATGAAAATCCATTCAGCTCTTTTTGAGGTGCTGTGTGCAGACAGAGGGATAGACAGACTAAAGGTAGTAGGCACATACTTGCAGCATTTAATGGAGAATGCACCAAAAGACAGACTTCACCATTATAAATAAGAATATGATTGTACTAATATATATTTTAATATGAAAATATTGAAACTGGATGAGCGTGAATTTTATGTACAGGTATTTGGCTTAAGGAGAGGCATTTTTTTAAATGCTTTTACTCAGGTTTATGGAACAACAAAGAAAGAATGGCCCATTGTAGAGAGCTATAAATATTTCAGGATTTTTGCACTTGGTGCCAAAATGACTCTGAAACTTCCAACTTGCTTGCATACAGAATTTATTAAAAGGGCTGAGAGGTTGAATTGAAAATTGTGTATTTTAACTGCTTCTGGATATTAAAAGCATTTTTAGGAATTTTATGAATTCTCATTATCTCAAGGTTTAACTGTACAAAGAATGAAGGAAACGAATAAGCAGGGCTGATGTTTTCCCCAAAGGAAAATACTCACTTCTTGTGTGCAGAACCTTCTGCACATTTCCAACTTCATGGCCACCTTACAACCCTGCTTCTGTTCTCCATTCTTATCAGCTGTAAGGTTGTAGTTTATTTATATTCAAGGGGTATTTCTGTCTTCGTCACTAAATGAGGATTAACCATTCCTCAGTTACAATAGGCTTCCTGTTTGTGGATGAAAGGGAGATTTATTTCAGGCTGAGGAATCCCATGTACGAAACCTGCAGAATAGGAACTTGTGACAAGTGCACAGAATTTATAGTTTTTAGAAGGGAAAAAAATTATGTTTTTTGTGTGGTTTGTTTTGTGACACTGTCAGTACATCAGATTGAATTGAATGATAGGATGGTTAGTGAATAATGAATTGGAAAAGATTTGGTAGGAAGTAGTCTTGGTCTAGTTGAGGTCATGCCCCAACATTGTCTATGGGACTGAAGAAAACCATGAAAACCCTCAGGATGGCCAATGTCCCAGCCAACATTCAAACAAAATACCTCTTAAATACAAATCTGAAACATTACTGCTACACCAATCTACTCCATAACTATTTAGGATATTATAGGCCGTGCCATAGCTCAAGCGGTTAGTCACTGGCTTTCCACTGCGGCAGCCCAGGTTCGATCCTAGGTCTGGTCAAGTGAGATTTGTGGTGGACAAAGTGGCGCTGGGGCAGGTTTTCTCTGAGTACTTCGGTTTCCCCTGCCAATCTTCATTCCACCAATTGCTCCACAATCAACGTGACTTATCATCTGTGGCTGGTACAATAGGCCAGAAGTGGCCGCAGTACAAGGGACTTAGTTCCACCCCACTAGCAATAAAGGAAATAGGTATATTATAACAGCAGTGCATTATTTGATTTTAAACATGCCATTTATGTAACTAGAATTGATGTTTTTTTTTTGTCTGTGTTTGTCTGCTCATGTACGTGCGCGTGCATGTGGATACATGTGGGTGCATGCATACATGCATATGTGGGAGGTATGTAATAATGCATTAAGGAGGTTGTACAGTGTCAAATGGGAGGGTGAAAGATGAGTAGTGACTTGGAAAAGATTAGAAATAAGTGGTTATAGCATAATTGAAATATTGTCCTGGAATTTGCTTGCAGGAACTCAGGAAAACTCAGAAAAACCCTCAGTCAGGATAGCTCATGTCCCAGATTTGAACTTAGTACCCCCCCCCCCAGATCGAAGTCTAGAGCATTTATCTCCAGACAAACTTGTTTAGTCAAATGAATCTTACTGTAAACTTAACAGTTAGTGAGAATAATGATTTAAATGTTAACAGATAGGAATTAGTTGTTAGTACTTCAATGATAATATTGTGACGCATTTGCGCTATGCATGACACCCCCTCCCCCGTCAGCAGTGACGTGGCACCTTCAGAGCGTTGCCGCTGCTATGGTAATAGGCCAGTCAACACCCCGCCCACTCCCGCGGTGACATAACATGGGATGCCGCCGTTGCTACTCAGCAGTAAACAAGTCCCAACAGCGTTGCTAGGCTATCAGCAAACACCGCGCCAGACAACAGTGGTGCCTATTACGTAACTGTTTTCTGTGTTGTCTGTAACAGGGCTAAATAAGGAGCAGCGAAGACTATTCAACAATTAGTTACGAGTTAGCCAGCAGTGAGTCAGTCAACCAGTCAGTTGTAGTCTAGCCTTCGCAGGCCAAGTAATTCTAATACTGCAGATAGCAGTAGTTGTGAGATTGTAAACTGTGTGATTGTATGAGCGAATGTGCTATAAAATTAGCTGTATCCAATACGGTGTGAAGTTATTTGTCGCATATACACCCAACACGTCACAGACAATATTATAAAAATAACCAATAATTTATAATTATAAAATTTCATGTTGCTTTGAAACACCTTTACATGAGAACTTGCACTTTGGCTTTAAAATGTTTTCTGTTTGTGGGCTTGTTTATGGACATTTTTCATCTTCAGCTTTTAGTTTTAATTCACCAGAAAGTACATTGCCATATTTATTCATTTGTTTGGTTGTGTTCATTATTCATGAAGGCATAAGGCGCAGGTGGGTGGACAATATTAAAATGGATCTAAGAGAGGGGATAGGAGGGTATGGATTGGATTGGATTGATCTGACCCAGGATAGGTCCCATTGGAGGGCTCTTATGAACATGGTAATGAACCTTCAGGTTTCATAAAATGCTGGGAAATTCTTGAGTAGCCACAGAATTGGCAGCTCCTCAAGAAGGGCACAGCTCCATGAGTAAGTAAGTACATTATTCATGAAAACAAAGAAATGATGGTATGGGAACTGACCCCTTATCAGAAACTGATTACTCATACTCCACCAGAGATGCTGAACAGTAGTATCAGAATACTGAAATGTCCATTTTCATATATTAGGATGCAAAAATCAGTTGTAGATACACATCCTTGTATAAAAATTGTTAAGAGATATGTCAAAAAGTACTAATCCTTGTTACTTCCACAAATGTGTTTCTGAAGTATTAACCAGATGTATGTGTCTTGGTAATAAGTACAACAAGAAGAGCAACAGGAACAACCACATAATAATAATAAAAATAAGAATAGAAATATGAAGAGTGTGTTTGTATTCAAACTGAAGTTTCATGCATGCCACTTAATTCCACAAATAAGCATTATATCTAAAATTAAAGTGAAAACCCGTTTATTTTGGTAGTTACACTATATTATTTGGAGAATCTCGTGAACTGGTTACTACTGGATGTGGCAGTAGAATACGATGGATTTTAGAGTGCTGTTGAGTAGTGATCAGGTTTAATAAAAGCAAACAATTTTACAGGAAAAGCAGTAGTGTAATGCAATTTATTAGATCATATTAATTTTTAAGATTAAATTCTTTAAGTGCTTACAATGACATATGACACAATCTTAAAGTCTTGATTGGAAATTTTCCATAACTCTGGAGTAACATCATATTAGTTGCTATAGTTACATCAGCAATATGCTATAGTTACATCAGCAATATGCTCTTTCTCCTCCATAATGGTCCAAGGTTTATTGTTGTAAACTGCAGGTTTTGAGTGTCCTAATATGAAGAATTTTGGTTCTATCAGGTCAGGAGGCCTAGATGACCAGACAGTGTCATGATATGAAATGAGGTGCCCAGGAAACATGAATCTCAAATAGTTCATCAGTAACCTCACTCTGTGTGTAGTGGTACCATCTTGTTGGAACTGTTTTTCCAGCAGTCTGAGCACTATTTAGTATTGCTCTGAGACTGCAGTCACTATGTGGTTATCTTGTTCAAAGTAGTATGGTCTGATAATCCAAAAGCACATATGCCATGTGAAACTAAATTTTACACTGTGTAGAGGTTTTTGTAAAGCTACATGGACCATTCATTGCTCCAGTGTTGGAAATTCAGTTTGTTGAAATAGCTACAGAGTGTTCTCATTCGACATAAACAATTTATGAAGAATATCCAGACCTGTATTCAGGATGTTGATGAACTGCATGCAGAAAGTCACTCAAGCAGTTTTATTGCTGTGTTACAGTTGTTGAAAAATCTGAATCCTGTATAAATGAAATCTGAAATCATTGTGCAGAATGCATTGAAAGCTTGTCTGCCAGAATGAGTTGGACTATTGATCGCTCGTTCCCTAACCCTGCTAGCATTCTGTGGCATACAGATCAATCATGAACTATCAACAAAAAGTATTGCATATGACACTGGTCTTCTGAAATATTTTTACCCACTTTAAGATACTGTTCCCGGGAAGGAATTCTACTTTGCCTGTCAACATGTAGCTCATACCTAAGTCTCCTTTGGATCTGTACTATTGACTTTGGCTTGGTGAGTGTTGTCAGAGAACAGCAGTATCCCCCCTCCCTTCTCTTCATTCAGTCAGGTACAGTAGTACTTTTAAAACTGTTACATTCTGCTGCTACATCCTGTCTAAACATGTAGTTTGTATGTGTAGTCTCATTGGCTCAAAGTAGTTGGACTCCAGTTTGTTGAAAGTGTGGGAAATTTTATGTGTTTTTGGAAACATCTTTATTGATCATAGTGAGGACAGTTTTTGTCAGTTTGTCTTACTGCTTCATAGTTACTGTTATTTGTAATCCAGCATTGTAAGTAAATAATTACATGTGAAAAAATTTGAATAGTTGTAATTCCTTGCAGAATTTATTTGTAATTTCCTTGTAATTTACAGAAGTGCCATTGGATTTCCATCTCTTGGAGTCTGGCACAGTACATGGCCTAGCATTCTGGTTTGATGTGGCATTCATTGGTTCAGTGCAAACAATATGGTTGTCTACAGCACCAACAGAACCACTTACACATTGGTACCAAGTTCGGTGCCTCCTAGAAACACCCATTTTTGTGAAAGCAGGCCAGCTTCTGACTGGTCGTGCATTACTTGTTGCAAATCAGAGGTAGGTACATTTCACAGAAAGTATGCAATTTCAAGGTTTGTTTTACTCCTGAAAGTACAGTTATGTTATGGAACACTACAGCAGCAGACACAAGAATTGTACAGTTACTGGCTACCGTGGAATGTGATAAAAAAGGTGATTCAAAGTAATATTTACATTTGTGACGAAATCTTCTTGGCCTGCCAGCCATGTCAGTTGCTCTGTGACTCCATCAACAGGGAACAATTTGATGGGTAAACACTGTTCCCCATACATAGGATGCTGACCAGATTTCGGAAGCATATTTTACATTTAATTTCAAGCAAGAAATTCCATGTAAAAATAGTTTTAGCACCATTACCAAGTTAAACACTAATGTTATAGTGTAATGTAACACACTAACCTCACTATAACTTTATTCTAAGTGTGATTATGGTATTCGACTGATATGGTTTTGTTATGTTGTGTTTGACTGGTGTGATTTTTTGTTGTTGTGCAGAAGTGGTAGTCAGATGCTTTTCACATGTATGCAAGAATACATGCTGATATAGATTTCATAATATAAATTGCAGGGCCAATATAACAATATCGGCAGCACCCTCGAAATCATAAAGTTCCACATCAGAACATGTTGTAAGCATTTAAGTTGATAATAACTCAGTTGTAAACCCATTAAATTGATAATAGGAAAGTTCAAAGGATGATTGATTTTGTATTCAGTGCTACACTACACTAGCATTTAACTTTTTTTTGTAATTCGCTTAGTGAAGGGTGGAGTCTAGCTGGGTCCACTCGTCACGGTGCCCACTGATTGGCCTACTGTACCTGCCCCTGGCTGATTTTGATGATGGAGAATTTTGTGGAATGAAGATTGGCAGGGGAAACCGAAGTACTCGGAGAAAACCCGCCCCAACGACACTTTGTCCACCACAAATCCCGCTCGACCAGACCTGGGATCGAACCCGGTCCGCCACGGTGGGAAGCCAGCAACTAACCGCTTGAGCTGAAGCGGCCAGCATTTAACTTGATAACAGTAAGGAGTTAAACTATTGTTTATAGCCCATTTCTGGCTTAACCTGTTATGTTGTGCACAAAATGTCTGGCCATTACTTGATGGGACACCTGTACATACAGCATTGCATCCCCAATCTCAGGGAGAACCATCAGCCTATGAAAGACAACAGGTAGCGTCACATATGTGTGAGCATTATTATGAAGCAAGAAGATACCATCTGTGAGGAGACCTGGGCATTTCTGTTTGATCTTCTGTTTCGGTTTTTCACATGGGCCTTCACGGCCTGGTACAGAAATAGCTTTACTTTTTTTTACTTTTTTAAGCGTTGCACAGTAGGAATCTGAGTTGACAATATCCCATGCTCAGTGAAGTCAGTTAGACATGTGCCCAAGAGACAGGGAGCATGACCTTTCTTGTGGTCGGTATTGCCTTGAATTTCTTCTTTGTTGGAGATGTTGTGTGTTTCCAGTTTGTGGATGCTTGCTTTGTTCCTGGATTTTAGTGGTTAACCCAAAAGTCATAAATTGTAACAACCTTGTTCAGGAATGCTTTGCCCTCTGCAGTGTATTGGGTCAAAGCCATGAGACAGCACTTCAGCTGCTCCAGTTTGTTCTTAGACATTTTGGCATCACTTGTGCTGAAACACTCTGGTATTGAAATATGTCATGCATGTTGAAGTTGATGTCATATGAGATTCCCATCTCTGTGGGCAGTTCTTACAACTTCACTTGCTGTTAACACAGATAACCACATCAACGTGCTGTGCTATGGTCTCCATGTTTGATGTTACTGGCTTTCTCAGTCATTGAGAATCTGTGACACTTATATGACCGCTTTTTAGCTCATGGCATGAGTGAGTGACTCCCTGGAATATCTTTCACATATGCTATACCAGTGGCAACTTCCTGATGAATTTGTGCTTGATAAATTCTGTTGGCTAGCTAAAGACAAGTCACCAGTTGAACTTCCATGTGGGACCACTTCTGCATCAGTAGCACTGTTTGAATGAGCTGTTTTGGCTGTCTGCTGGCAGTTTCTGCTGCCCGGTGCCATGTTCATTGTTCAGGTGAAATGAAGACATGTCTGAAATAATTTTGTGAAAGTAAATTTCTTGTGTTCCCTCATATTTTATTTTGTTATATTCCTAAGCTCCTTTTACAGTTATTCTTCCATTGTATTAATTTACCTTTACCTGTATTAGTGTGATGCATTTCTTTAGGATTATTCAACTGTTTATAATACAAGTATGATTATGGTTTCTAGCATATTTGTGGTTATAAATATGAACCAAACGTTTCCAGCAAGAGCTTCTTCTGAAGTTCAGTTTTTGTGAACAGTGTTGTGGCTCTTAGTGCTACCATCAAATGACAAGTTTGTTATGACATTTATGTACTCAGATGCTGCTCATAGAAGACACTTGACCATGTGGCACAAAGTAGAACTCATATGATTGAAAAAATATCACACATCTTGGCATAAATGTGTGGAAACTTTATCCCTACAGTGAATTATCAAACACAGAGAGGATTTTATATATTCCATTTTGGAGTCATAGATGAAATGACTTGAAGTCCTTGAAGCCACCAGTCAGTCAGCTATGTAAGAATTTCCCAACATTGTCCAGAGCCCAAAGGTTCATTGCTAAGTTCACAAGAGATTGTATTAGTCCCTATCCTGGGCCAGATGAATCCAATTTATACCACCCCATCTTATTTCTCTAAGATCAGTTTTAATGTTATACTCCCACCTACAGCTAGGTCTTTCTAATGGTTCTTTTCTTTCTGACTTTCCATCAAAAAAACCTGTATGCATTCTACATGCCCTGCCCATCTTATCCTCCTTGACTGGGATCATTCTAATTATATTTGACAAAGAGCATAAGTTTTGACACTTCTGATGATGTACTTTTGTTTCCCAATGTCCTATTCCCCCCCCCCCCCCCCCTCTTTTTCANCCCTCAGTGCCAAACAGACAAATTTTCACACCCATACATAACAGCAGGAAAAATTATAGTTTTGTATATTTTAATCTTTATGCTTTTAGGCTGCAGAGGGGAAGGCAAAAGATCCTGAACTGAATGGCAGAAAGTATTCCCAAATTTAATCTGCTTTTAACTTTCTCAGGAATCAGATGTTGATGTGCTTGAGCTTACATAAATATAAGACTATCTCCTGTAAACTTTCCCACCCTCTGGTGTAAGATAGCTTGCAATCATGAACAAAATTGTTATTCTGCTCTTAGGCAAAGCTACGATGTGACAATAGAGCTTAGTGTGGAAGGCACAGGCTCACGCTCATCCAACACATTGGATCTAAAAAATCCATACTTCAGGTACACAGGACAAGCTGCCCAGCCTCCACCAGGAGTAAATCACACATCACCCAGTGAGACATACTGGGGACAGCTTGATGCTCAAGGGGCGCGACAAGGTGAGTGTGTTGACTTCACAGTATCTAATTCAAGATCTTATGGACAGGTTGTTACATGTTAAGTTTTTTGCCCGTAGTAGCATAGTCAGTATTATAATTTGGGATACAGAAATTTTATATGTGTGTAAGTTATTGCTGATTTTAAATCACCAGTTGCTTCAAGTAATTCAAAGGTTAGTTATGCTTTACAGGTTTAACTTCTAATGTTGGATACAGTTATTTTAAGAACTCAATTAAGTGTCTGCATAATTGCAGATGCAGGTTATTTTCCAACCATTTCTTGCAGGATAGGGCATATGGCAAAATAAACGTAAGAAATAATAGAAACTGACATCTATTCTTCATATGACCAGTGTTGATCTGTAGCACTTGGTTGACCACATGGAGTATATGGTTTTCAAGAGATTTGAGAGAAACTTTTTCTTATGACACACTGTCGTGTAAGTATAGTGAATCCCTTGTATGGTGTTATACTGTGGGAAGCAGGAAGAAGGTGTCTAATGGAAATCGTTATATAATTTGTATTTGATTGGTGTAGAGTTATGTAATTGTGTTATTTGTAGTCAATCAAGTCTATGAAAAATAAAACAGTACATATATGGGAAACATAAGTGGAAACACTCTGATGAGATTTTACTTGCACTATCTTTCATAGACTGCCGTGTCTGTGGTTGGGTATGTATTGTGGACACTACCACAAGGTGTAAACTTTTTACTTGTGATCCTCACTGATAGGAGAGTATGTACTGTCAACTATTGATGTCCTGAAAGGAAAACTTTTCTCAAATTGTGTGAATGAACTGAATGTATGCAGTGTATCATGGTATCGTGGATACTACATTGTAATTGGAGGGGTTTGCTTTCTGAGACTAGGGGTTAGTGGCACTGAGTGTACATTCCATGACCCAGGAAATGTGGCAAAAGATACCGAGGCATGTACCAGTAATAATGTATAAATAAAACTACTGTGGGATGAGATGCTCTGTAGTGTAGTATATAGGTACTAACATTTTGGTGGTACCTACTACCTCCATCTTCATGATGGAATGGAGGAGGAGTTACAGTTAACCTGCATTATGTGCAAGTGGAAGAAGTGTTACAATATCTGAAATTTGCCTGTGCCCACAATTAGAATAAAGAAGAAGAGGAAAGTTTTACAGTACCGCACACTTTATGTAGGGATAATTAGATTCTGGTATCATTGAACGTGATGACTTGTGTCAATGTTATATAGTCTGGATACTGTCATAAAATAACCCCCAAAAAATTAATGACTGGCTGTTTTTGTGAAATGACAAATCAGGTGCCTGCCCTTGGACCTGTTCTGTAGCAGATTTTATGCTGTGACAGTACTATAGTGAGTCTCAGTTTAATTCATTGTAGTAAATTTAATTCTGATGGTAAATGAATACAGTTTTTATCCTTGGTAAGAAGGTTTTAGGACACCAATCAAGGAAAGTTTTTAAGCAGGAAAATTTCTTACAAGGGAAGAGTAAGAATTTGGCTCCTTCACTGTCGCCTTTAAAGTTCCTCACTATTGCTACTTTCATGTTATATGATGATGTTTAATCGTTTGAAGCATTAATTGAATCTAAATAATATTTAAAGTTTGGGTTCCTAATTTCTCACAGCAAAGTTGTGTGCTTAATCTCTGATTGATTAATGCAGACATCTGTCAGTAAGCACAATAATACTTTTAAGCCTGAAACTCAACTAAATAATATTCAGAGCTTCATAACTCATGGTAAACACACTTCATCTCTGTTAGAAATACCAACCAGTTAGGCTATTTAGAGAAATAATCTTTGTTCACTGTGAGATTCATACAAAACACATAAATACACAATGTGGGCAAAACAGGTAGTACATATAGTAATCGCTGTACTCTAAAGGGTAACTGGCATGTTGAGTTCATTTGCTAGTAGAATATATGTAATGGTTGGATTTGCCTCCATATTTCTCACAATTTTATAGTTTTCATGGAAGTCAGTGGTTTCCACTTTAGCCCATGCACAATACATATGAAGCAATATACCCAGATGGAGTAACGCAAATCAGCAGGTGGATATGAATATCCTGATCTGAATCACTTAACATTACACCGAGATTATACACTTTATCTCAAACTGATTAACATAGACTATTATCAGTACTACATCAAGATTGTGACCGTAGTTGGTTTTTATTACATAAAGATGTCCTGAATGTATATTCCATGAGTGAAAATAGTATGGGAGTAAATATGTCTTAAAGCATATTAAATGAAAAGTTTGTGACAGTAGAAACCTCTGAGGTGTCAAAATATTATGTGCAAGAAACCTGTTATGTGGGAAATATTAACATTCCAGTTATAGGCCTTATCTCTTTATGTAAGAAGCCAAACTTCTTTAAAGAAAAATTTCTTTCCTGGAAACTTCTTATCCAGGAAGCACTGTACTTGTTTTCTTGATACTGCAGTGCTGTTAGAAATAGTCTAATTCAAGTGTGTATGTCATTCCAAATGATTATGTACTCCAAATTAGTAGTGTCTGAATGCAGTATAGTCAGCACATATTTTTAAAGGTTGACATTGATCACACTGGGTTTAGACCTGTGTATGCAAGAGTGACAGCCAAGTTTTAAAACGAGGTTTTAAACAGTGATGATATTTATATAGATGTTATGCATATCTTTAGAACTGTTTATGATAAAATATTCCAGAAGAATGTAAGAAAATTTATTCCTGAAGTATGTTGTGATTTTTTTACAAGTAAAATATCATTTTCTGGCAAAAGTTTATAGATTCCTGAACAAAAACAGCACATTGTACGAGTATATATCATTCAAATATGTGGTAATTGCAATTCTGGAAATGTTTCCTTCCCATACTATGACAACTGTTATTCAGAAGCTTGTCTTTTTGCGGTACATGTTGTCGCGTATTGGGCGTATAACGCGACAAATAACTTCACGCCGTATTTGATATAGCGAATTTTATTTCACATTCACACTTACAATCACACAATTGACAGTTTTACAATTACTGCTATCTGCAGTATCACAAATACTACACTCCAAATGCCACAATACAACTGGTTGCTGGCTAACTCAGAACTAACTCGGAGGTAGCTTGAGGACTAACTGTGAATAGCCTTCACTGCTCCTCATGTAGCCTCGATCGGACAATACAGAAAACGGCCACGTAATAAGCACCCTTGTTGCCTGGCGCTGTGTTGCTAGCAACGCTAGCGGTAGTAACCGCTGTTACTACCACCGTCTCCCGCAATCCTGGTTACCCGCGCTGCCTAGCAACCCGCGGTACACTTGGTGACGTCATCGCTGTTGACTCGCGTTGCCTAGCGACCAGGATGCTAGGACTCGGCTAACTTCAGCTCACTTCGGCTTCGCTCGGCGCATCACGGCTGGCGGGGGGGAGGGGCGTCATCCATAGCTCAACATGTCACACTGCTCCCTCCTTAAGGCTGTTCGTCTCGAATAGCCTAACGGTGCATCCCCGTTCCTTTTCCGTCCCGTAGCTGTGCTTGCGGTGTCTCCTGTTGTTTTGGCTACTCTTCTTGCAGCGACTATTCTTCGTCCGCTACATCCGCTCCCCTCTTAAGACAAAGCTCGTCTCGAGCGGTTTCCTTTCAGCTCGCCAGAAGATCCAGTTGTGTCCCATTCATCCATCACTTTCATTCCTCCTTGGGAGGCCGGTACTCCCACATTACCAGTTCCCCCTCTGCTTGAAGTCTCTTTTTCCGTTTTGGAGGGGGTCGTCCCCTCCACAAGGTCCAATCCTTGCCGTGACGTAGGCAGACAGAAAATCCGGCTACTTGCTTGGTGATCTGCAGTCTTGCAGTTTTTCTCAGGTCTGCTTCCTTCACATATCGCGGCTGTCCGCCGCCTAGGTCCTTCACTTCATTTCTGCGTTGTAGTTGCTGTCTCAGGCCTCGGTTCCTGATGCCAGTGTGGCGTTCCGGGCCTTTCCACAGTCTCTTCCCGAACGTCCGTTTCTTGGTGATTTCCGGTGCGACCTTATTCTTGATTTGTCCCATACGCCTGTGTCCTACACAGCGTGTAATCTTTATTCCGGTGGCGGTCACTTATTTCCGCTGGCATCCGAAGTTTCCCAGGGGAATTTCCTTCTTGAAGGCAATTCTTCAACGTCGTGCCACTGTCGCGCGATGGGATGTCTTCCTGCATGGGGCAGCCAACTTCATCCGGGGTCCACAGTTTTCCCGTGTCGAATTCCTTATTTTTCGTCGATGTTGGTCCCTGCGCCTTTTCTTCTTCGGTTCTCCAACCGGCATAACTTCGGCGTCTTGTACGGGTACCTCTCGTAGTTCTGCCGCCTCAGGTTTCCTGTGCACTGAAGCCGGCACTACTTCTTCTATACATGCCTCCATCTCTTGGCAGGCCGTTGTCACTCCGACCGGTATCACTATTGGGACCTCTTCTCGTTGTGCCGCCGCAGGTTTCGCGTCCCCTGGGCGGGCCACCGTCTCTTTTTGGGTAATCGGCATCAATTGATCTTCAGGTTCACTGACCGGTATCACTGCGACGTCGTCTGCAGGGACCTCTTCTTGTTGCTCCGCCTCAGGTTTCATGTCCACTTGGGCCGGCTTTTCTTCTTCTAGATATGCCTCCATCTCTTGACAGGCTATCATCTTTACGTCTCTTTCGGGTTTAAATGCGTACACAATCTCCATGTGGCTGGTGCCCATTATTTCTCGCATGGCTTCCGTCCATGCTTGGATAGCTCTTGTTTCTGCTCTGGTGGCTTCCGTTTCTGCGACCAGCTCTTCTCGCATGGCGGCCATCTGTTGTCGCCGGGCCTTTCTATCGGCGTCTAGTATCGCCTCTAGGCGTTCAAAAATTGTTTCCATTTCCATCGTGCGGTAGTATAATTCGTTGAGGCATGTTCAAGTTCGTAAAACAATTCTGACACCAAGCTATCACGTGTCTTGAGTTCGAATCCTGTCGGTCACGTGTGTCAGTCCAAATCCCACTTCTGACACCAG